TGGTTATAATAATTTCTGATGTTATATGGATTGAATATAAGAAAATAATTGCAAAACCACATAATTTACAAATATAAATCTGCTTGAGTTTTTTTTAGCATATTACTTCAGTTATTCCTTATGAGAATTTACATATAATTTAATTGAGAACTAAAACAAAAATCATGGATGTTCACTTGTGTCTTAATAGAAGTACTCTTCATACAATAATTGGAATCATATACATTAGTTTTATGTATATCATTTTTAAGTGTATACAGATGATCCTAAATGGCTTCCGTGTTTTCTTCTTCTCCAATGATTAGCAGTAAGACATTAGGTTCTATAGAAGTTTTTTAAATCAAAATCATGCAGAATTACCGATTTTTGAAGCAAATAATCAAAGCTAAAAAACAAAAGAAAATCTCAATCGCGAAATTTAAAATACGAAAGTATTCAATTTGAGAAAGGAGAAAATATTATGTTTGCATGTGTATTTATTAGATTAATAAAAAAATCATTTTTCCAATGTGCTAAAATGTTAGACACGGATTTTTGGTTTGAGATTCAAAAAAATACTGTTCTAGAATGTTACTAATAAATTTAAAACAAAATTTTAAAAATGGATCAAAAAAATTTTGAATCCCGACCTACTACATACAAAATTTTGGGTAAAAATAGTTTAAAAGTTATTGTAAATTTATAAAGAGAATAAATGAAGTTAACACTAATAATAACTAATAAAATGTGTCAAAAATGCATATACATTTTATTTTATGTTGGGCCAATATATAGAATTCAGATACAACAACTAATTAATTAAAACATTTGTTCTAATTTCTACCATTTCCCTTGTATAAATACATAATATGAGGATAAATAATATTTTTAAATTATTAAATCCGCACGTTTGATTCAAAATCTAGTTTTAGTTATTATTACTACATATAATGTAAACATCACCGCTAGACAGAAAAAGTTAATGAAATAAATTTGTTAATAGCCTCTTCAACATGCACTTTGGCAACTCCGTACAATCATATAATATATAAAAGTTGATGAAATAGTGCATCGAGGGCATCTATATATGATTAAAAACTCGATTTGATTGGTCCACATTAGTATATTCATTCAATAAAAAATATTAAGTATGATTAGGATAGAAAAACTTGATTTAATTGGTCCACATAACCTTTTTAATCAAACCAAAAATTATTAAGTATAATTAAATATTAAAAGTTAATTTAGCAAATTATGTACAACAAAAAAGTAAATTTAATCTGATTGATCCAAATTAACATATTTCTTAAATCAGAAAATATTAATATAGTTTTCAAATTTTTAAAAATAAATAAAAAATTAACAATTAACAATACATGTTTAAAAAAAAGTAATCATTATCAATTTAAAAAAATCTACAACAACTCGATTAAAAAAAAGTAATCATTATCAATACATGTATAAAAAAGTAACTAATATCAATTATCAATTAAAAAAATCTACAACAACTCGATTTAACAATTAAAATAATAAAAACTGAATAAAAATATAACATAAAACTCTTGGAAGACATGATGGAGAAGGAAAAAATGGTTTTGCATGATCATTACAGCTTCCTAACAAAATTAAATGCGAATCAACATGAATCATGGATTATATATGCAGTGGTACACAACATCAATAAGATTTTTAATAAATAAAACTAAATATTTAAACACATAAACCTTCAAGAAAAAAAAACTATAGAAATTCTATAGAAAATAGAAAATAATATCAAAATCTTAACAAAATTATATTTCTCTAAATCAAATGTATATGTACGTCAAGGTTGGATAATTCAATAAGTGTCATTGTTATTATTTTACTTAATAGTTTTTTAAAATTTATAAATAAAAATAGGATAAATTACACATTATATATTAAATTCTCTTATATAAATGAAAATTTATATAAATATATTATATTTTTAATAAATTTAAAGATAGTAGTTAAAAAAAATAAACCAAAATATTTATACAGATACACGAGTTATATACCTAGTCATCTATACTATAAAAGATTGCTAACTTTCTCCATATGAGTGTCACCTCATCATTTTGGTTTATTGTCGAAATGACATGTGTCATTTTTGAAAATTTAATGATACAAATTATGTAAAATATATCTAATGCACAAATTTAATGTATTATTAATCAAAATACTAAAAGAATGTGAAAAATATAAAAGATTAGATAATATATTTTAATAACAATATATACTTAATATCCAAAAACAATTATTGAATATCTATTTTGTGGTAGTTTTTAAAAATCATTAACAAAAATTACGTTTTATATTTAAGAGTGTTTTTTTATTTTAATTAATATTATAAAATATTATATAAAAGCAATTATACAAATATAAAAATAACAATTATTTGATATTTTGAACCTTAAAAAGTTAGAAGAAAAATTTACACAATATTATAATAAACTTTAAAACAATTTCTTTATAAACTAATAATTATTTGATAATTTATTTTATTCAAACTTGATCCATTAATAAATTTAAAATTAATAAGATATCAAAGTCCTAATATATATATTTATAAAATATTTAATGCTGCTATATAAATTAGAATAATAAATCAATTATTTAAGCTCATAAAAATATAAAACGACAACATTACTATTATATAAATCTACGCCGTGAACAAGTACAACCTGTTAAAAAGAGTCGTCTCTATCTATGTTGTGCTTGAAGAGTTTCTCTAATTAATTTTTGTAATATATTACTTCTCTGATTTGCACTATATCTATTTAATATATATAAGGTATTATATATTTCACATTTTCTTATCAATAAATTATTGATCACATATATAGTTAATATCCACATAATATGTAAATATGTATCGTGTGTTTATTCAAATACACAATATCCTTTAATTTTTTTTTAATATACGATAAAATAAATTGTAACTACACTTTTTAATAAATTATATTATGAAAACAAATCTGCGCATTGCGCGGGTACTCATTTAGTATATATAATTAGCCAAATCTCTCTTCATCTAGAGTGTCCACCTCAGTAATTTTTTTTTAAATGGGCTTTTAAATATTTTGGGTTTTGGTTTTAAACTTTTATATTTTGGGTATTCATTTTTGGGCTGCTAATATGATTAATTTTAAATTAAAACAAATTCTTAATTTACAAGTCATAAAAATTATAAATTTTCTATTTTTGAAAAAAAAGTTTGGAAGACAAATATATACTAAAGATGACGGTAGAAGTTTCAAATAATAGTTATCAAACTTTTAAAAACAAATTTAGAAAGATTTATGAATAAAAGTAAAGTAAAATTATTCATAGAAAACAAATACTTATTCAATAAACCATAAAAATTAGAAATTCTCTACGAAATAAAAAAATACAAAATGTTATTTCCAATATAAACAAAGAGAATGTCAAAAAAGAGTTGGAAAGTGAACAATTACGAAAGATGACAGAATAACTTGTGGAGAATAGTTATCAAACTTAAAAAAACAAAAGCTCAGAAAGATTAATGTATAAAACTTAAATTAAAGTCATTTATATATACTTTATTATATAAAATGAATGATGATTTTTCATGAATAAAGATAACTTAAGTGTTTAAATTATATAGTATAGAAATGAAATTGATTTATACGAAGAAAAAAAATGGCAAATATTTATCAACTATTTTTCTCGAATTTGATATTCAACTAATCAGTCGGATAATATATGAGTTTTAATATGAAGTATATAAATAAACTAAAACCAGATTATTGATTATACTTTTTAACAGTGTTACGTCGTTTTCCTCTACATGACATGAAAATAGACAAAAATATCTCCACACACATTCATAAATATAGTCATATAAGTAACCATCGTTAGAAAGATGAATACAACAGAATTGCTTCAAAAAAGAAGATAAATGTTCAAATCAATTAAAATATATAATTTATCAAGTAAGCATAATTTTTTGATATAAAAACCTATAAAACCTATATAACATATGAACAGATCTTTTGCTCTATCTCACCAACTCTAACTATAATTTACCTCATTTAGAGTTACAACCAATTACATAATTGAATGAGATGAAAACTTGCATGAAATAAGATAATATATCAGTAGATTGTAATCAGAATAATTGGACTAAGAACAATAGAAAAGGGAGAAAAAATGAAGGACTATTTGACATTTTCATAAAAGAAATTAAGGAAACATTTAGTTTAGAATGAGGAGAGATTGATGGTGATTTCATTATATTAATTTATGAAGATAAGTTGTAGAAAAACGATCATAAACTAATTGAATACAAACAAATTGTTAGAACACATATAATATTTATTGCAGCGTATAAATATATAAGATTTTTTTTTAATAATTAATTCATTATATTCTATATTTGAGGAAAAAATAGAAAACATTTAAAAAAATAAATATAACACTTTATTATATAGAATAAATATATGCATAATAATAATATAAATATACAAAATTTTAAATTAAATTAATGCGCGAATCAAAATCTAGTTTCCAAAATTATTTGTTTTTGGTTATTTTAATTTTAATTATTCCTCCTTCACTGTTTTAGCATTCCTTATTTAGATAAATATAGATTTAATTATTATGAGAAAGGAAAATACGAGAAATAAATAATGAAGACGAAGAGTGTTTGGACTAATGAGCTCCAAAACCTATACAAAGTAATCATGGATCATGTGTGTTGGTAGAACGTGAAACATCATATGTAGGTTTATGATAATATTCTTTCCGTAAATTCTCATGTATCCGTTTTGAACTCGTTCGTTTGCGGATAAAACTACTTTATCTTGTGTATATATCTTGTACGGCTTCTTTAAACCTTTTTTCACGGAATAAATTCTAGTAACTGTATTATTATTTTTTAAAAAAGATTTGTAAATATGTTGATTTTAGAAGTTAAACAAAACTGAAACACAATTAGTAATTAGTAGGTGTGTCTTGAATTGGAACTAAAGAGTGGGTGCACTTGCTTACACCAAAGGCAATGATATAAATATTTAAAGTGAGGAGCTGCTTCATCTCTAGCTGGCGTGAATTTTGGAAATGACGGGTTTGCCCTTAATTGATTTATTTCTTTCTTTCAATAAGGCTAAGCATCACATCTAAATTTGGTAATTCGGTTTGATGTCGGTTTATATATATAAACAGATGATATTTTAGCTTTATAAATATATATATAGTATGGTCTTGGTGGGTACATATATCAAGTATACCCTGATAATTTGTTTGTCCTTGTCTACAGAATCTATGTAAAACCAAACCACTAAATGTACTATATACCTCTTATGAACACCTTCTAACAAAAGAAGTATTACCAATTAAATTTCAGATATGTAAAATATTTAATATTGTCCGTCTCTAGTCACACATATATGTAAATATGTGGAACTGTTTGGTAGAGAATATTAGATCATAGTTCAGACTTCAGAGAAACCGCATTTCTCTTTTGTACAAGTTTTAATTATTGTTGTTTATCCCCTTTTGTTAATCTAACCTTTTGTATTTTGAACTTTACTTCTTTTATTGATGTCTCCTCCATAAGATTTAAAGTGCGTTCATATTAAACTGCATGCACGCATTATCATAGCAGATTTTCACTTTTACACATAAATACTGAATATTTTAATAAAAAAATTGCGAGGGAAGATCTTTGAACAAAAGACTATATTATATACTAGTATATAAAGAGGACATTGATATATATAGTGCTTTGTTTTGCAAGTGAGACACATACTCATTTTTATCGCTTTATATGTTTTGGGGTTGATACTTGATTACAAATAACTCTTTTTAGGTAGGTACCTTGGACATCGATGGTAACAATGCAACAGAGCTAAAACCAAGAAAGAAAGAAAAACTTAACAAGGTGTCTATGAATTTGCATTTTGTAGAGAAGTGTTAAGGATCCGAAATGCTGAAAAACAACCAAGAAGATTAAACAAATTAAAAATATTTAATGAGTTCTAATATATTTTATTCTATAAATAGAACATTGTTGTCTCCTATTTCAACATAGATGTCGATACTCAGTACTAAATATATTTCGGTTCTTCCTTTCCACATTGACATTTAACAAATAATCAATGATGAGGCATATGTTACTATTAAAAACACGAACCGAGACGGTCTAAATCTGACAAGATGAATCTGCCGAGAGGCTGGTTAACCAAACCGAATCCTTTTCTACAGACACATCATCGTCGTTCCTCTGCCATTCCCAATGTGCGTGAGTCGCATTCGCCATCACCAAATGTCCATGCCCGAAATTTGCTTCTCTAAACAATGATATTTCTGGAGTTGGTTTTTTGTAGCTACATATGTGAGTTATCAAAACATCATCAGAATCATTTAATGTCACTAATTTAACATAGTTTCTATAAATAAGCTTTTTACGAAGATCTTACACTGTAGCAAGGCCTTCTAGATTTCCGCCATCTCCGATGTTAATATAAACCGGACCACATTTGTCGAATTTATCTTGGTACACCCGATTCTGCCAAACAACTCCAAGAATTAGCTAAATATACTGAACTAAAAACCCAAAATAATTACCGAAGTACGCTTTAGACTTACAAAGCGCTCGTAAGCATGGACGTGACCGGCGAAAACCAAATCGACACGAGCTTTATAAAGAAGAGTTTCCATGGATTCTTTCATATCCACACTCTCTTTCTCTCCTTGGTGGGCTTCGTTGGTGTTGTACCACGGCGCGTGTATCACAGCCACTAACCACGGTGTGGTCTTACGGTCGACGCTTTTGAGATCTTTTTCTAACCATTGGTACTGATCCGATCCAGGCGCAAAATCAGCGTATGACCCCAACATTAGAACGTGGACTCCGAAAACGTTAAAGGAATAGTACAAATTCGAGGTCGAGCCACTCTCTTCATATGGCATGTGCCACCTGCCCACACGTATATAAAAACAGCAATAACTTAATATAACAATAACCCATTCGTTATTCAAATACACAAAAAAAAAAACAACGTTTAGTTCATAACCAACATTTACAAATATTTCATTTTTTATTGCTAAATTTTGCATGACTATCCCAATAATATTTAGCAAAAGTGGTTGGTGGGATTGGATAATGGATGAATTGTAAGAATGTACCTGTGGTTATAGGCGGTGAAGCTTTGACGATGGAGAACAGGAACACGTTCGACTTCGTGGTTGCCATTAGTGACCATCCATGGCCTTTGGCTCGCAAGTGGCTGCACCAAGCGACCAAAAGTGTCCCACACGGGTTGCAAAAAATTAGCATACGACAGATCTCCAGGCAAGATAAAAACGTCGTGCTCCCATTTTGATATATGTTCCAATGTTGATTTAGTCCATTCAGTTGTCCCAAGGTCACCTTCATTTTTAATCAAATATCATTGTTGACTCATTGTGTTTAATAAACTATAATATATGTTCGTGTATAAAATAAAATTTATAAAATGACAGTCTAAAGAGTTATATCAATCAACTTATATATGAGTGAAAGAGGAGAAATGGTATGTGTACCGGCCACGGCGAATTTGATTGGAAATTGAGAGGGAGGTGTCTTGAAGCTGAACTCTTGGGTTGAAGATGGACCTCCGCATTTGTAATAGTAAACTGTATTGGGCTTTAATGGGCCTATAACCACATCATTAATTCGGCCCGAACAATAAATCAACAGGAAGTGGTACGACGACGTCGTTCCAGTAGCCGAGCCTTCGTATTTGCCGGAGGTTGTGCCGTACACAACAGTCGGCATGGCTGAGCCTTTCGTTATCCATGATATTCTCATTTTGTCCGGCCCAACGAGAGATATATGCACCTGAAATTTTATATTTGAAATATCAACGCATGAAAAAACAAAGCCAAATTTTCAAATGTTACTTCGCTAAAAGATATAACTAAGATTAAACAGAAAATAAGAAAGTACAAAGCGTACAGGCAAAATTGATGAGGGACAAAAGACTTTTAGTGGGTGAGTTTTTTTTGCCGTGCCTTCATTAGACACGTGCTTACCTCAGTACATGAGAATACGTCACATGGCACGTGCCCTTGGGTACTATTCGCATTTAAACCGTTTTTGACTACTGTGGAAACAATTTTTTTATGAGATTAAGGAAAACCTGTTTGTTAATTGTTATCCCATATTATACGTTATGTTTTAGGATTTTGAATAAATTATCTAGAGGGGATGTTTCATTTGGCAGTTGGCACAGTTATATTTAACTGTATGTTTTGTATAAATAATTTATATAGGTAAGGGTGTTTCTGTTCAGAAATGCATTTACTAAGTTTGAAAATGTTCACAAAATGTCTTTATTCAACGTTACGTTATCAATAAATGCGCAAAGTATATTGTACAGTGTCGGTTCCAAAAACATTATAAACAGTGTATGTATCGGGGTCAATTCACCCTTAATTATGGCAATAAATCGGTGGCAATTATAGTTCTGTAATTACTTCTCTAAGAAAAGAAAAAAAAAATTTATGAGAAACCGAAGGAAAACAAAATACCAGACACGAAACTACTGCATTTCTCCGGTTTCAAGTTTTTGTTTTATTGGTGTTCGTCAATGGAAATTCATAAATCACATGCCTATGTTTGCAAACTAACAAATACTATCAAAAGAGTGAAAGACTAGTCGTGTAAAAATTCTTCTTACAACGATTTACACGAATGATAACATATTATATGCGAATGCAATTATGAATATATATTGAGTTGAATGTGAATTACCTGATCCGGGGACAGAGGATCGTCGCTAGACGGATGTATCACTAAATTTTTCCGAGTGCCCGGCCGATCATACGACGACACATTTTGGACCAGAACAATAAGCACAATCGCCACTAAACCCCAAATCTTCACCATTTTGGGTTCTGGCGACAGAAAAAAGGTAGAGATATGCAGAGATAACGATGGAGAGAGATCTTCAGGGGTTGTGAGAATTGAGAAACAAGGATACAAGGGACACCGTGCTTTATAGTAACATTTTATTTCTCGTTTTGGAATATTTTTTAAAATGGGGATATGTATTTGACAAAAAAAGGTAAAACAATTTTGTAAAATTCGTACATGCACTAGATACCCTAATTTTATCATCTTATCTCAAAATGACTGACAAAATGGTAAACAAACTGGTTCATTCTTCAATTATAACGATTTCTTGCTATTCATGCATGGTTTGCTTTAAATGTTCTATTGCGACTATGTGTAATCGGAATCCAATGTGTAAATCAGGGTAAGAGATTTTAAATTATCTATTACAATTATGTGCAATTGGAATCAATTACAGTTTTAGAAATCTATTAATTTTGAATAATATAAAATCTGAAAAAACTTAATTTAATAATTTATAACATTAGTTAAACTATTAAATAACACCAGATGTCATGCTTGTATACTATTATAACCAGTGTTATTCATGATTAAAGATCTATTCAATGTTCCAGTAAAATACTTATAAATTAATTTAACTTTACCATTTATAGGTTGTTACTTTAAGAATTTTAATACTATATTGCCGTTAAAAAAAAATATCAATACTATATATTTAGGATTTTCAGATTTCGTTAATAAAGTTGGCATAGATAGTTAAATCCGAATTCTTTCATCCACCAATTTTTTTTTTCTATTTCACAGTAATGATCAATATGTTTTCTTTTTAATTTAAGATGTTCTATTAAAAATGCGTGAATAAGAAAACTACACATAAAGTTGACCCAACAAAAAAAAAAAGAAAAACTACACATACGCACTTGACCGAAAACGAAAAGAAAACTACACACCATCGCCCAAATATCAAATTTGTCAAATGAGCCCAACACTGGAATATAGATGAACCATCATAAAAGTATGCCCAAGAACTTAGAAGGTAGAGAATCATCTCTCAAAGAGAATCCAAAGGTCGTGAGACTACATGCAATCGGCAGAGGCGAGAGGCGAGAGAGTACAGTGGCCACTACCCACTAGAGAGGATCACGGTAGTGAAGTTGCCGGCGACATTGGTCTTTGGAAGCTACTGATCGAAATGGATTTATATTTAGGTACTCTAAATGAGAACCAAACTACTACTAATATGATAATATCCATATCGAGATTGAGTATAATATATTTTTAACAATTCACACTTCACAATTTACATATATATATTTCTTGTATAGGGATTCATAATACATTAAAGAATCAGTTGAGATTTAAAAAGGAGGAGTAATTCTGATGAGTAAACCAGGGAAAACATCATCGTGATCATGTATATGAGGATTGCCTTCAACGATGTAAGGATCTCCACACTTTTCACTTATCGTCTGCAACGTCTCTCCTTCTTTCACCTCATATATCTCATCGCATGCTGGCCGTCGATCAGAATATCGGGCGATCATCATCGACGGCTGCTGCTGCTGCACGGTGATCTCCGTGGGATCCTCCTCTGCCACGTGGCAGCAGTTCATCAGCAGCATCATGGCGGCAAACACCGCGCAGTACCACGAGATCTTCTCTGCTACTACCATGGAAGCAGAATGAGAATAACTCTTAGCCATTCTAATTTTTATTTAGGGAATTTGGTTATAATAAGAGGATATATATTGATATTTGGTGATTATAAGAAAAGGGTTTTGCGTATATATATGTAAAGATAATGAATGTATGGATTAAGTTGATATAAAATATGATATTGTTGGTGGAGTTGGTGTGAATATTAGCGGGAGTTGAAACGGTTGAAATGTTGCAGGTTCTTTTTGTGTTAGGTCACTTGTCTAATTTGAATCCTTTCCTGAAATGAAGTAGTTTTGTGAAGTATATTGATCGGCTCATCGCATTAGTTATACTAGAAAAAAAAAACAGAAAGGAAAAAAGAAAAAAAAAACAATTACGAAAGAATACTCAATACAAATTTTAATAAGTTGGTCGATAGTTGATTGATTTGTATATTCATTTTTTAAATTACTAAATGAAGTTTGGAAATTTTTTGGGAGCAAATTAGAATTTCATAAGACGCTATCTGCGTTTATTTTGTTTTGTAACATCAAGATGCTACCGTACTTAATTTCCCCTTCCTCCAAATCAAACATTATAATAAGTCTATGCCTCTAACACGGTTTTGGTTTTTAATAAGATGTATATTATTTGCTGAAGATCACATATGGACCCATGAGGTTTATAAAATCATTCAATTAAGACTCCCTATTGATAACAACAGACCATCCTCAGAACCCATGGGCCAAACCAGGCTTAAAGATGCAATTTCCCTTATTATTTTTAAATAACTTGATTGAAAAAGAAAGAAGATGAAAGGTTTTGGAAGCTAAATTTAAATTGTAGAGACAACCTATCAGAGTAATATGATGAAATGATAGTACACCATTTAATATGTGATAAGATATATTATGATTTAGTTTATGGGAAAGGAACAACATAGAGATGATGTCTACAGGCCTAGCTTTTTTGTTAAAAGCCCAACCCACAAATTGGGATGTAACTAAATTTGGTGAGGTTATCCCAATCAACAGAGATGAGAGCCTAATTGACAAATTCTTCACTTATGATTTGATAATCGAAGGGCAGAGACATGCAGTCTCTCGATTATACTATAGGCTCGAAGTCGAACACTAGTAGCTCAAGATGAGAACAGTGAACTTGTGGTCTAGTTATACACTTATAATATGAGATGTGGTATATATATATATATATATATGAGACTCCACATCTCATAATATGAAACGATATGTTTTCTAGTCCAACTAAGGAAAAAATGTTTTCTTGCCCACAACTGCGCGTTGGTATTTGCCTCTTTGGTAAGAGGCTAATAATATAGCTGTTTGGACAATATTTGTAGTTAAGCTTTGTACTGATTTTTTTTTAATAATATATGAGAGAGAGAGATGGGCTTGACTTCCATTTTGGCTCCTACTTTTCATATCTTTTTCTTTACACATTCTTTTGTAGCTTCTCCTAATTACAATATACTTAACAGCATTAAAAAAATGAGTCATGTTTAATAAAATATTTGATAGATTAATAAAATGTCTTAACAAAAATTTCTTAATACTTTACTTTGATTCTAGGATACCATTTGTAGAATTACATTTCAAAAACCTTTTAACAAAAATATTATAAAATGATTTGGAAACGTTGGAAGAAAAAAAAAAACTGTTTTGGAAAAAATTTTTACAGTCCTTTCTATAACTGATGTAGAACTCTTTAGTAGATCTGATAGTTGCAGTTAAAATTTTTTTTTTGCTTAATTGTAAATATTCATTAGAAATGATAGGTTTATGTGTTACAAAATGTGTTAACAATTTGATCTACCTAAAACGATTGGTTCCATGGCAAAAAATAATAAAAAAAATATGGAAGCAAAAGCAATCAGTCTTTTGTTGATTCAGTTACAGTGAAGCAATTGATGTAACAAAGAAGCGATAGTAAACATTGAAGGTGCAGAGAAAACCAAAACCAGGAAAAGCTGAACAAGACATACATATTGAAGCTCCTAAAGACGATTACTAAGCAGAACATAAGTTGTTTCACGTAAGCCTGAACGGATCTCTGTTTTCTTCCCGGTTTAAAATTTTATATATGTTCATAATTTTCCATCTTACTTTTTACATGTTCTTCTAATAGAATCTCTTTTATTAGTGATCAAACTTGAGATGATCATAGACTTCATAGTCACTGCGGAATAATACGTTGATATGAACATTATACAAAACAATTGTGACTCATTATCAAATGATAGAGAAACAAACATCCTATCGGCTTACGAGTTACGTGTACAACAATAGTTTGAAGTCGTACCATCGTTTTGGCCAAAAACATTCATTTGTGACCGCGGGATTCATATGGTCGGTACAGATATTAGAGCAATTATGTGATGTTTACATAGGAGATATGAATGATGATGATGCTTTAGATAATAGACCGGTGTGTTAGCCGTACTGAAATGAATGTATAAAGACAACACGGTCATAAATAAATATACATATTACGATATCATCATATGGGTGATTTCAGCTTGTGGAAATATTTAAAAATAAAAGCGTAAAGAGGAATTATTGTTCCCCTACTAATAAACATTCGTAACAATATCTTAGGATATTTTATTCTAAACCAACCCAATCAACGGTTTGCGTGCATCATTTCAAGCATCAAATTGATCAATTATTAGAGATTTTAGAATTCCTCTCATTAGATAAAATTTCTATATTGCTTGGGACCGTCCAATTTTTTTTCTTTTAAAAAAAAAATTGTCTGAGTAGAAACGAGTGGTTGATTAGATCCCAAGTTGACATAAAAAGAAGAAAGATCCCAAGTGGTTCTTCCAAGGTATCAACACGGTACGATTTTTTATTTATTTTTATTTGTATTTTAACCCACACGGTGTAAAGTTTGACCCATCTAAAGAGTCTTTCTTCAGGTAAGGAAAAAGACTTTTCATTTTTGCAGGAAGAAAAACAAAAGTAGTGAACCGTAAAATTAAATTCAATACTTATATAACTCAATAAGTGACACCACCATGACGACATTTAATCACTAGTAGTATATATAGATTTGATCGTGGAATAGTGCATGACGTGTATACGTGTATAATAGATTATTATCATAATTTCATCTGTAATCAAACTTGGGAAAAAAAAAAACGAAAAACCGTTATTTCTATTTAAATTTCAGCTGCGTCGTCTCTGTTTCGCCGTTGTTTCCATCCTTTTTTCTCTCTCCTTTGCTCTGTATATCTTTTTCTCTTCACATCGTTGTTTGGTAAAGAAAACGAAAATCAGTGAATCATCATCTTCTTCTTCTCTCAAGAACAGGTAAACTCAATCTCTCTCCTCCTCTCCTTCTTTTTCTCCTCTCTTCTCTGTATTTTTTTTTCTTCTTTTAAATAAACTTCCCATCTCTTCTTTTTCATTTCTGTTTGGTTGCCGAGAAAGCGGAGGAAAATCTTCTGAATTTTTCTTCGCTTTTTTTTGTAATCATTTCTGTTTTTTTTTTTTCTCGGTGACCAGAAGAATCCGGTTTGTGTTTGTTCTTCGTTTTTTTCGTTAAATTCTGCAGATTTATTTATTACGTTTGATTAATCAATCTTCTCTCTTTTTTGTTTTTTCCAGATTTGCGACTGCGACGAGCTTGATCGATTTAAATTCTCACAAGATCTATGGCGGAAGAGCATCGATGTCAGACGCCGGAAGGCCACCGTCTCTGTGCTAACAACTGTGGCTTCCTCGGCAGCTCCGCCACCATGAACCTCTGCTCCAATTGCTACGGCGATCTCTGCCTCAAGCAACAACAGCAAGCCTCCATGAAATCCACCGTCGAATCTTCTCTCTCCTCCGTATCTCCTCCGTCCTCGGAGATCGCGTCCATCTCTTCTCCGATGATCCAGCCTCTCGTCCAAAATCCCTCAGCTGAATTGGAGGTAACGGCGGCGAAGAAAGTCCCGACGACGGTGACTCCGCCGCCGCAGACGACGACGGAGCAACCGCAGCAGAAACGGCCGAATCGGTGCACGACGTGCAGGAAACGGGTCGGGTTGACCGGATTCAAGTGCCGGTGCGGGACGACTTTTTGCGGGACCCACAGGTACCCGGAGATTCACGGATGCACCTTCGATTTCAAATCGGCCGGCCGCGAGGAGATCGCGAAGGCGAACCCGCTCGTCAAAGCGGCGAAGCTTCAGAAGATATGATCGGAGCCGCCGTTGGATGCGTTGACTTTTCTCCGTCTTCATTTTAAACGCGTCCGTCCCCGAGAAATCCGGATGGTGTTTAGGTTGATCTGAGCCGTTCATCATGGGTCATTATGTAAAAGATATGTATTTACTAAGGGACACGTGTCACGTGGTTTAGGATGGAGACGCTTTCTTTCCTCATCTTCCCAATTAAATTTTCTTTTCCCCAGAAAGAAATAAGATTATTCGCGTTGGCTTTTCTTTTTTCCGGCATTTTGTGTGGCTTTTGCGTGTACAAAGTTATTCAGAACTACAAAAAAGAATTATAAATTCCTGTCTCCGGTTTTTATTTTCTTTGGGTGATCACAAATTAATACACACTTAACATTAATAATTTGTAATCTTTGAATTGAAAGCTAATAGTCTTACAAAACCTAAAGATTATAGGTTATTCTTCTTACATGATCCTCTATAGCCTGTCTATATGAATATGGAATGTCTTAAACAAGAGTAATAAATAAATAAATAAATTCACACCATTATTGAATAGATGATGCATTTCCACCTTAAGTGAGCATTGGGTTGTTAAAATTAAGAATGTTCTCACCTGTGAAAGAAAAAGACTATCAACCTCAATCTTCTTAGTATACAAGGTTACAAGTTATAACTTACAGACGACCAATCTTAAAATAGAAACCCCCAATACATTCATAAAGAACTTACTAAAAATGTCTGAATATCTTAATGCATACACAATTTTTTTTTTTTTTGGAAAATGTTATGGTTTTGAGCTCTTTACGAGTTTGTGACCAACCACAGTTGCTACATGCTACTAGTAATATGTGATGGCTCAATGTGTAAACCGATATTGTCGAAAGGTATTAAAAGTGAATTGGACAGGATCTAATTAACCCTCTTTTATGAGTTGAGAATAATATGTTCTATGAATGAAGCCAAAAACAAAAGAGAAGAGCGTAAGATGTTTTATGTGTAGTGGATTTAGATCTCATTTCTAAAACGATTCAAAATACAATGTGATGATGTCCTAGGGCTTTCGAACCATACTTCATCCGCAATAACTGAGAAGTTGTCGCTGTTTCTATGCCACGACCAGTGTGCTCGTTTCTTGTCTATAATCCTCAATCTCCCATGTCCAAAACTCGATTCACGGAATGCTGACAACGGTGAACGTGGCTTATGGAACCTGTAAATTTAAGTTAGATATATACTTAAATATTTTTAAAACAATATTAAATTTGGTTCAATCATTTGAGTTAAATGACGAGTTTTTTTTTTTTAAACGGAAAACCATTTAATTGGGCAAAAAATAGATGAATAATGAAAGGTGGCATACTCTAAAGCAAGCCCTTCTCGATTGCCACCGTCACCGATGGTTATGTACACTGGTCCACATGGGTCGGCCTTCTTGTTGTATATCGGCTTCTGCATCAACCATTATTTGCAATCAATAAAGTAGGAACAATCATTCTTTTAAATTTTTTAATTTATTACTTTAATGTCCATAGCTATGTACGAATACTAAAAAAATATCAATTACGGAAAAGAGATCAATTATATATACGCTGATGGATAATATCTACGAAATCGAATAATTAAAAAAAGACATATGCGTATACGCATATTTTGCAGAAATTCTAAACAGTAATTAAAGCATTATGATCAGTCAGTACTAGAATTAAAAAAGGGGAAATTTAGTAACAAACAAAATTCCCTAGCTACGTAAATTTTGAGTTCACGTTAAACATGTGGAACGACAGTGTTCATTTGACTTTAGACATTAAATTTGCAGAACTATAATATTTTGTTGCATCACGTCATTATACGGGTTACCACTTAGAATTTTTATTTAATTTTTTTAGTTTAGGAAAAGATTAACAAAGGTAGGGGGTTACTTACGAAACGTTCGTAGGTATGAATGTGGCCAGCAAAAACGACGTCGACTTGGGCACGAAAGAGCAAACCCTCCATGGCCTTTCTCATTTTCTCTCCATCACCCTCATGCGCCAAGTTTGTGCTGTACCATGGCGTGTGCATCACCACCACCAACCACGGCGTCGTTTTACGGTCAACCTCCCTCACACACAAAAAAGCCCCGATTTCTTAATAATAAAGAGATTTCATGTCGAAAATGTAGCCGTTATGTGAACTTTGCAATGACCATATTTGAAACGTTGGTAACAAATAGTGCGACGTTAGACCATATGTATGAAGCATATATTCCAAGTAACGTTGCTTTATATCCCAACTAGTTACCTTTATTAGATCGGCTTCGAGCCACCGGTACTGATCAGAGTGGGGGTCAAAGCGGGTGTATGAACCAAGCATAACCGTGTGGACACCGGCTGTATCAAAGGAGTAGTAAAGATTGGACCGGGAGAGGCTTTCGGCATGAGGCATGAGCCATCGAGCATTGTATGATTTAAAGCTTATGTGTTCTTCATTGATCGGGAAAGACTCGATCTCGTGGTTCCCCTCGGTGACCATCCACGGTCGGGTGCTAGCCAGGGTTTCTAAGAGGCGGCCAAAAGAGTCCCAAAGTGGCTGGTGGGTGTCCGCGTAGGAGAGGTCACCGGGAAGTAGGAATACATCAAAGTCCCGTTTCGAGATCTGATCTAATGTTCTCACCGTCCAATCAGTTTGCCCTAGGTCACCTTCAATTTCACAACAACAACCGGTCTTATTGGTGAGTCCACTAGAAAAACCGGTTCTTAACCGGCTTGAACTAGAATCCAGCATAGAATAAAGGTGTCAAAATAGATTAATTCAAATCGAAGCTATCATTGATGGTTGTCAAAAAAAAAAAAAAAAAAAGAAGCTATCATTGATGGTGTGTTTCCTGAGTTGGATATAATATAATCCTAAGTCCTAACCATGCTTTATATCCATCGGTAACTTTTTTGGGGTTAGTGTTATTGTTGCCTTATTCAAACTCGCATTTTTAATGTCATTAACAAAAATGTAATAAGTTAAATATAATTTTCAAAATAGTTCTTAATGTATTTAAATATATCTATATTACATCTAATACTATGTTTGAACCATCAGATTTTTTCATAATTGTAGTATATCAAACTTTCATATATGCACTCTATTCAACCTAAACATATTTAATGAATCACCGACGGAATAAAAAAGATGAGACATGTATAGCTTTAAAGCTTGGGATTATGGCGTATACTTCAAAACAATTAAACTCCAACGGGAAAGTTGTGGGCATGTATAAAAAGTGGAATACATGTAACTCCCTGCACGGTTCGCGTGTTATTTCGTAAACATATCTAGCCTAATTTTAATATCTTCTAAAAAGCATAAAGTTTCATATATATGGTCCAAATATAACGTTGCAATTATATGGTCCACACTTTTTTATTCACGACAGTGAAAAAAAGACCACAAATATATGGACCAATCCATCTATTACCATTTAGTTTTTGAGTTAGGAACTTAACTTTTTGAAGTTTTGTTATATCAAAATATTCCTATCGTCTATATAAACATTTTTGCAGTTGAAACCAATCTATTTATTTTGGCTTCTCTCCTACTAACCGGTCCTAAAATCTCCAATACCAATAAATGACAAGAAAATTGAGAAATGATGGAAAGTGTGAGTTAATGAAGGGACTATTACCGGCGACGGCGAACTCGACCGGAAAAGTGGATGGAGGAGTTTTGAAAGAAAATTCCTCACCGTGGCCGCCGCAACGGTAATAGTAAATAGTGTTTGGTTTAAGAGGACCAATTTTGACATGGTGGATCTTGCCGGAGCTGTAGAAGAAGTATCTGTAAGAAGTGGATTCTCCGGCTTGTTTTTTCTCGTACCTATTTGAGCGTCTACCGTACTCCACCATCGATTCCACGTCCTTATCATCCGTTGTGTATGTTACTCTCATGTGATCCTTACCTGCCAATGATACGTGCACCTATATATGTGTATAAACAATTCATATAATCAACATTAACTAATTCAAACTAAAACGTCGTGATAGAATGTAAAATGCGAAATGGTAGAGAACATGAAGAGAATATGTGATAGATTAAAAAACATATGAACCTCGTTACAACGATACATTGCCTTATGGAGTATACATCTCACACTCCATATGAAAAAAGATTCGAAGGTGAGAATTTTACAGGACTTAAGACACATTCGAGAGGCATTAAGAAAGAGATATAAGCTAATGAACCTGTTGAGGAAAGGATTTTGGACGGCCGTTAGAGACGATGAAGTCTGGACGAGGTGGCGGGCGGGTGTACTTGGAAACACGATTAGCTTGAGATACAAACGGAGAGAGGAAGAAGAGAGTAAAGCGAAGAAAGAGACGAAAGAGTGTCACCATCTTCTTTTAAAAGAGTTAAGGTATAAATGAAGAAGCAGAAGATGTGATGAGTTGATTAAATATTGAAGAGATAGGTGAACGTCTCGGGTTTGTTTAAACAACTCGACAAGTCACTCGGTTTTATTTTGTTTTTGAGTTTTGCTTGCTATTGTTTAACGAAACAAAATTCCAAAAAAAAAAAAAAAAAAAAAATCAAAGCCAGTTCTCGCGTTGAAATGGTTTTTGTAAGCTTGTCAAGAGCTTGGCCCATAAAATATAAAAGAATGTTTTTGTTTAGTTTTCTGGTTGCATAATAAAAGGGAAAAATAATAAATTTGTACAAATAAGTGTTTGGTCAAGAATAAAAAAAAAGGATAACTAAGATTATTTTCTAAATACAAGATATAAAATGGAAGAATGTCTAGTAACAAAAGTAGGCAATACTTGAACGGATACTCCCAATACATTCTTAGATACAAACTAAAAATTGCCTCGTAAGAATGTAATTTATAACAAAATGATTTTTTGTAGTTCGTATATACCAACGATCCAGTGAAAATTAGAAAAGAATAAAACTATTTTTTTTTTATGGTATGATGATTTAGAGCTCATCGTTGAAACCACTCGAAGGCCAACATGAAGATGATGTGCTAAGACTCTCGAGCCAGACTTCATCCGCAAGGAGTGAGTTCGAGTCGTTGTTTCTATGCCATGACCAATGTGCTCGTTTCCCGTCAATAACCTTCAATCTCCCATGTCCAAAACTTGATTCACGGAAAACAGATAAAGGTGAATTTGGCTTCTTGAACCTGTAGTTTAAAGTTATAATAAAAATCAGTTTATACCAATTAAGTTCAGTGAAATCACCAAAATGTTAAGAAAACACATACCATGCATGCATCGAATTACTTGGGAGAAAAATATTATGATATTAAATTTAGATTGGATAATGGGAGGTGACATACGATAAAGCAAGGCCTTCACGATTGCCTCCGTCACCGATGGTTATGTATATAGGCCCACATGAGTCGGCCTTGTTGTTGTATACCCGTTTCTGCATCAATAGAAATAAAATAATTATTTTTAAATTTAGAATTTAGTTTTCTTATTTAGTCGAAATTGATATTTTTCATTGAAATAGTAAATTGAATTATTGATTTGGTTGTGCCAAATGATTATTGAAATAGTTTATTAGGAACACAAAAAGAGTAATGAAGACGGGGTACTTACGAAACGTTCGTAGGCATGAACATGACCCGAAAAAACGACGTCGACTCGAGCACTAAAGAGTAAAGACTCCATGGCCTCTCTCATGCTCTCTCCTTCACCTTCATGCGCCTCGTTCGTGTTGTACCACGGTGCGTGAAGCAAGACAACCACCCACGGCGTTGTTTTACGGTCAACCTTTCTCCAACAAAAAGAAACAAAAAATAATTCAATTTTCAAGAATTGATATAATTTTTTTTAAAAATGTTATACTAATACTAACAAATGATGTGTGAAGTTAGGTACGGGTCTCTCTAGTTAGGGGATGTCGTGTTAAGTTAGTATTTTCTCAGATTCACAAAATATGTCGTTTTGCATGTATACACAGAATCAAAAATGATGTCTATTTCTATTAATTCAAGGGATCAATTGTATTATTTTAATGTAAGGTTTTCTTTAATTTAATATTATTATAGCTTATGGTTAAATGATAAATTAGTATAATTTATATAACTCACCTGAATCCTATAAATTATTTATTTTCTAAACAGAAAATAAAAACATTCTTGTGTGAAAAAGTGATGAAATGATTATGTACTAAGCATTGTTTCCAAATTAAGTTGCATTATCTCACAACTAACCTTTGCTAGGTCGGCTTGGAGCCACTGATACTGATCGGAATCGAAGTCAAAGTCGGTGTAAGAACCGAGCATAACCGTGTGGACACCAGCTACATCGAACGAGTAGTAAAGATTTGAGCTAGAGAGGCTCTCGGTGTGAGGCATGAGCCACCGAGCATTGTATGACTTGAAGGTTGTGTGTTCAATGATTGGGAAGAATTCGATCTCGTGGTTTCCTTCGGTAACCATCCAAGGACGCTGGCTCGCGAGTGGCTCGACTAGGCGGCCAAAGGAGTCCCAAAGTGGCTGGTGAGTGTCGGCATAGGAGAGGTCTCCGGGAAGTAGAAAGACATCGTAGTCTTGGCTCTTTATCTGAGATAATGTTGCTACTGTCCATTCGGTTTGGCCTAGGTCACCTTCAATTTCACATCAAAATTAAAACCGGTCTTGCATTAAGTTGACATGAAATTTTGGTTCTGAACCGGTATGACCGAAAGCATAACATATAGAGGTGTGAAAGTTGATCTACAAGATCCTACCCAACTTGTCATGGATTGAGTGTTTTGTGCGTTAGGTTCAACTCAACCAAATTATTTTCTGTGGTGCTGAAATGAGTTACATATAGTTTGATCTATATATATCTACAAAATATTATGAAGTTCAAATGTCAAAGAATAACAGTTTATAAATTTATATGTAAAATCATAAACTAAACTTAATTACTTAGACGTAAATATTTTGGACAAAACGTACATACGTGTGAATGCATTTTTCTTTTTCTTTTTTCAGCTAGACGTGTAACTTTTAAAAGCTTGAGGTCTTGGAGTATACTTGAAAACTTTCAAATGCTGGAGATTTTAGACGAAGTCCAAACTACTTTCAAAATACATTATCTAAAAAAATTCAGATATTTTTTCTATCATTTAAGAAATTTTAAAAGGACGAAACATGATTGAACTCACAAAAAAAAAAAACAAAATTCAGGCTTTAGCCTACACCCATTTAAACTAAAGTTTAACCACTAAAACACCATAAATAGTTAAGTTACATAAGATCTAGATATGTTTATTGTTATTTTCTACTTTAAAATGCATCGATATAAATTTCCTAGAGTCTCCAGTTTCAACTGAAAAAGAGGTGGTAAGCTAAAGAAAAAGAGAATTTGAGGAACTTACCGACGATGGCGAATTCGACCGGATAAGTTGATGGAGGAGTTTTGAAAGAAAATTCAGGACCGTTACAGCCGCAACGGTAGTAGTAAGTGGTGTTGGGTTGGAGAGGTCCGATCTTGACGTGGTGGATCATGCCGGATTTGTAAAAGAAGTATTTGTAAGAAGTGTATTCTCCGGTGGCTTTTTGGTCGTACTTTCCCGGTTGCTTACCGTATTCCACCACCGAATCCACGTTCTTGTCTTCCGTTATGTACGTTACTCTCATGTGGTCCTTACCCGCCAATGAGACGTGTACCTTCATATTTATCAAATATTTAAACCGAAACAGCAAAAATGGGTTTTATATAATAATAATTACTAAAATATGTAAGATGAATGTAAGACAGATTGAAGAACATAAAGGAATTAATTTACATGAATACTAACGCATTGTTTATCCTTAACTAATGACTATGCATCTCACGTTCCATAAGAAATCAAAGATGAACATAGGGATGACTTTTAAATTGAAAATGATATGAAGCTGGTGAGAAAGAGAGATAAAGAAAAACCTGTTGTGGCTCGGATTTGGCACGGTCATGAGGGACAAAGACGATGGGACGAGGCGGCTCACGGCTGACTTCCGGCACATCGGCTTGAGATACGAACGGACAAAGGAACAAAAGAGTAAAGCAAAGAAAGAGACCAAAAAGTTTCATTTTATCGTGTAAAGAGTTAAAATTGGTGAAGAAGAATTAAGAAAATCTGGTCGATGGATTAGTAATAAAGAGATCGGTGGATGTTTCAGCCGTTCAGGTGTGTTTTATACTTTATACATCTCGTTAGCCATCGCGTTAAGTTACTTCATTTCCTTTTTTATTTTAAGTTTTTTATTAAAAATAACATATATGCTTTTTGTGAGTTTTGCTTGCAGCTTTCTTTATGTTTCTATTATTTAACTACAAATAATTAGAAGGTCAATGCTTGAATTATTAATTATAAGGTTTCGTAACCTTAAAGATGATGGACCTAAGAAACATGAAGGAAAAATTTGGACACTACATTTAGATTTTCATGTAAACCATTTCTCAAATTTTTTATTTTTATTTTTTCTTTATCAAAGACAAAATACATTTCAGTAACAACATTCCTAAGAGTGAAATTAATAACCGATGTTTTCCCTTTAATTTATAACATCATATAGTAAACTGAAAACGTACCAATTAAGATATATATATATATATATATGATAATGCGCATTTAAGAACAAGATATAAACTGAAATATTAATAACATCAAGGGTGTTTAGTTTATGGACTTATATAAGAGTTTGCGATACTTAAGAAAGCATAGAATAATACAAAAGAGAAAAAGGAAGAGAAGTGGTCCATTTTTCGATTGGTGAGTGATAAGAGCAAGAAGCCTCAAGACCACATATTTACGAATATATGGAACGTACCATCCAACATAAATTGTTGTAGTATTAGACTTTACTATGCTGTTTTTTATTTAGGATCATAGAATTGAAGTTTTCTAAAATATATTATAGAAAAATAGTTATCACGTGAGCGAAGTACGTGGAATAATAGATGTGGTAGACACGCAAGTCGGCAAGTCGTCGTGAGAGCAAACGTTGCTTGAACACTTTTGACGCTCGTATGTACGTAATTTATATTATAAATCCGTGGATAAAAGTTATTACATCCAAGAAAAATGCAATTCTTTTGTTCAATGTTATAAATATGACGTTATACTTATACTGAGTTTGCTTTCTCCCGTCGCGCTTTTTAGTAGTGTCTGTTTATATCAGTCCTAAATTCCTTATACACTATATTTAAATGTCTCAAAAAATGGTTTTCTCTACGTACCAAACATCTGAAGTTCGAATTTCGTCAAATCATGTTTGTTTAGTGAATTATATTGAGACGTAGACGGTGATCGAGAAACAATATAATCTTACTCATGTTGTTGATTATTTCATGAAATTACTATAGTTTTATTTTTTCATGTACGTTTCGTAATCAACGGAGAGAATAGCTTATCCACAAAATGATGGCCGCGTGTAAAACAATGAACAAGCAAGAAAGAGTAAACCAAGTAATCTGATGGGAACGTGCGAATATGTAGAACAAGAAGCATGTCATGTGGCCACGTTGCTAAGGTAATATGGTTCAAATGGATATTCTTATGGATCTTTCGTAAATCCAAATAAAATATGAATAAATGATTCATTTTTTGCGTATTTTATGATAAGCCATATAGGTGGACTTTTTATTTTCTACCATTGTTTCAATCCACACCCGATTCTATAACTTTTGACACATACGATTAAAATAGCGTAATTACCAATTCCACTGTTAGTCTGTTAGTATAGCACTATATTTTTTTATTTGACATTATAATATATGGACTATTTTCTACTACTTTAAAAAAAATACCGTTTGTAAGCAATTATAATTATATTTAAATTGTGTACGTACCCTATCTCGTCTAACCAACGATCGGCTGAATAATTAATAACCAGTGAAGCAATGGTTCATTTGGGTTGGCTATCCGAGAGTCCATAGGCCCATTAAACTCTCTAACCCAAACTATTAGATATCCACAACCCATATGTTAGAAGCCCAAAATGTCGAATAAAATTCGAACCTATTATTAATGTCCAAGCAAATGCTTTGTCGGTTGTTAAATAAATCAATCAAAATATCAGTCAGTGAAATGTCAACTTAATGGGTCTAAGTCGGCATTCAAGCAGCCGATCAATTGACATAAACGTCCTTTACATATATTATTAATAATAACTTCTGACAAAAAACATTATAGTAAAAATGTAATAATAAAACTTAAGTAGCGGTTTAGTTAGTCTAAACGCAAAGTAAGGTCCGCTTTAGAGAAGTGTAACCTGTGTGAGCTGCGAAAAGACTTCCATTTCGGTTTATCGGTTCCAGACAAGTGTAACGCTTCGATTTGTATACAAGTTACAATACACAAAGTATAAATACATGCATATATCAATTATCAAATGATGTATACGTGTGGTGCATCCAGGTGACCAGGTCTATACGTAAGCATGTAGTGAGAAAAAGAAATATACAAAGTATGTGTGCGTTCACAAGATTAACTAATTATTAGAGACACTGGTGAATGTTTACTTATCCAAAAAAAAAGTACGTTAAGATGTCTGTGATGATTAAGAAATTAAGAAGATATCCCTGGTTTGCTCTTATCCTTGAATTAAAACTATATAGATAAAGACATACGTGGATTTCACTAGAAACACACGACTTCATTAATTCACCTTATTTGCATTACATTTTAATCTATAAGAAAATAAATCAATTTCTTTAGTCGACCACATTTGCATTATTAGCTGTCCGATTTGTTTCGGAATATAGATAAGTCAAATAACGAAGAAACTAAGTCGAGAAATAAAATATAAACAAGAATAATGTGAACTAGTTATTAACCAGCTTGTAAATAGTTAATATACATAAATATATATCTAGTATACAAAAATATTTTGATTGTCCCCAAAACTATGGTGAGTCTATCTACCTAATGAACTTGGAGCCAACCAAGGCTTAGTTTTTCTTTAATGGAGTTGACAAACAGAACTTATATGTAAATATTAACTATTAGTGCAATTTAAAAATGAATTACTTTTGTTGTCAACAAAAAAAAAAGGAATTATTTTTCCTAAAACATTGTCTGGAACACATAGCTTTTCATCGTTTGAAAAACTATCTTGCAATTACTTTGTAAACTTCAATATGTTACCTACTTGGACTCACGGACCACACAACTTGCAATGATTTTATTTTACTCGATTAACTGTTCAAACAGATGTTTTTTCGTCAGTAAGGTGTCGTATCTTTCTTTCTTTTAAGTCTAGAATAAGTAATTAGTAACAATATATAGTGGGTTGTTATTAAGATGCGGAAGATAATGAAAAGGGGAAAATGGATTTAAAAAAAAATTAATCAAAGAAAGTTTAATAAAAAAAACATTAGTATATATATTTTGTCAAAAAAACTTTAATATATAATTTAGAAAACAAATTAAAAGAAATGGGAAAATGAAAAATACTCGACTGGTAGGGTACAAGGTTTTTTATTGTCATCCGCTCAAAAAGCAAAGAGGTTGGCTCCCACAAATTTATATCCAATTTTCATATATGCCTTCAGTAATCTATACGTACAGTGCCATGAGTGTAAGCCTCTAGATATATATACCTTTTAGACCATCATTCATTTCAATCCCGATAGCTGCTAATTTCAGCGAATCTTCTTTACTAAAAAGAACCTAAAAATATAGGAAGTTTTGGTTTTCCAAAGAAAGTAGGGAAATGGGTCTGAATTTCAGGGATAAAGCTTGGATCTTTCTGGCGATTCTGTGTTTGTCATTGTTGATTTGCTCAACTAAAGCATTGGTCTCTTATGATCACAAATCTTTAATCATCAATGGACAGAGAAGGATCCTTCTCTCTGGTTCTATTCACTACCCAAGAAGTACTCCTGAGGTAATATTTAATTATTAATTAATACATCGAAACAATTAATTAACCTATTTTTAATCAAATGTGAACTTTCTTGGGCTCTGTTTTTTTTTCAGCAAATGAGGTTTTGTTTTCTCTGGTTTCTTTTACATATTGTCTTGGCTATTTCAGTACCAAATTACATTTGTATGCAGATGTGGCCTGATCTTATAAAGAAGGCCAAAGAAGGAGGTTTGGATGTAATTCAAACTTATGTTTTCTGGAATGGACATGAACCTTCTCCTGGAAAAGTAATTTAGAGAAATTAAAGATTTTCTTACTTGACTCATAAGTCATATAAGATCTTAACGCTCTATATTTTTGTTTGCTCAGTATTATTTTGGGGATAGGTATGATCTGGTTAAGTTCATCAAGCTGGTGCATCAAGCTGGTCTATATGTTAGTCTAAGAATTGGTCCTTATGTTTGTGCCGAGTGGAATTTTGGGTAAATAGATATACAAATTAAATTATATATGTTCTAAGAATAAAATATATAATTTTTTCTTATGAAAATATAAATTTATTTATAGATGTTTTCTGACTTTTGTAGGGGATTTCCTATTTGGCTCAAATATGTCCCTGGTATGGTTTTCAGGACAGATAATGGACCTTTCAAGGTACAAAACAGTAGAACTTATGCAATGATGACAAATTTGATTTTTTATTTATTTATTCAAGGATTAAATTTTTGTAAACTTGATGTGAAAATTGAAAAGATTGCAATGCAAAAATTCACAAAGAAGATTGTGGATATGATGAAAGAAGAAAAGTTGTTTCAGACTCAAGGAGGACCCATCATTCTCTCACAGGTTTTGTTATGTCTTCTTTGTTGTTTAAATTGATTCTTCATTCCCCATTATTATATAGTATGACTCACATCTATCTACATAAATATGATTATGTTAAATGTCAAAAAAAATGAGCAGATAGAGAATGAGTATGGACCAATGGAATGGGAGATAGGATCAGCAGGAAAGGCATACACAAAATGGACAGCTGCAATGGCATTGGGACTGTCCACTGGTGTCCCATGGGTTATGTGCAAGCAAGATGATGCTCCTTACCCTATTGTATATTTCTCTCTTCCTTTCTTTCTCTTATTTTATTTTCCCCTTAATTTAATTCGAGCTTTTTAATACGGTTTCAGTTTGGTAGAGTTTCTATTTTAGTTTGAATTCTGCTTTTTATCAACCTATTTAGCTGACTAGGAAGATTTTTTAGAAGAAATTTAATTTTATTCCATTTTTAGATTCATTAATGTAAGTATTAACTTGTGTTTAGGTTTATACTATTTATCGGGATTGAATAAATAAAAGGATAATCAGGAATTACTTTTCTTTTGTCGGCAATTAGATACTTTTATTCAAGCGAAAGAAGATATTTGTTACTATTGTTTTGTCATTTATTTGTATTATTATAGAAACTTTTTTGGTGAGAACATGATCGAATCTTTATTATTTTATTATTTAAAATACAATTCCTTTTTTCTTTACTTGGTGGGTTACCTTTTGAATATATTTTTTTAGCCTTCAATTTTTCTTTTGTGCAAAATTCTCTTTTTCTTGTTATAAAAATTACGTGTTGTCTTATTGATGGTTACAATAAAATATCATTTTCCACGTTCATGTGTTTGCCTTTGATGTCTTTTTTAATTTAAATTACATGGGGCCACCGGCCAAACACACCAAAAAAAAAAAAATCCATTGGGGACGATTTTTCTTCAACTTTTTTACTTTTAGAATTTTCAAGAATGTATTCAACTTGGGAGTAAAAATTTGGATTGAACGTTAACAGTTTGTATACATGCGTTGTGTGTTAGATAAACACATGCAATGGGTTTTACTGTGAGGGTTTCAAACCCAATTCAGTCAATCAGCCCAAGATGTGGACAGAAAACTGGACTGGTTGGTAAGTCACGAAGCTTTTTTATACATTAATCTTTTATATAATAAACAAGATGTATAATTGATAATAAAATGTGTCTCAGGTTCACGGAATTTGGAGGCGCAATACCAAACAGACCAGTCGAAGACATTGCGTTCTCCGTGGCTCGTTTCATACAGAACGGTGGTTCCTTTATGAATTATTATATGGTAACTTTAGTAGTTTTACTAAATCAAGAAATGGGTATAACTAGAAAAGACGTAACTTATGATATAAGAGTTAACTAAGGGAATGTTGTTACAGTATCATGGAGGAACGAACTTTGATCGAACAGCTGGTGTGTTCATCGCCACAAGCTATGACTACGATGCTCCTCTGGATGAATATGGTAATTAACTGATATCACATGAAAGGCTTTACATATTAAGAATCTCTCTCTTCGATTTGATTGAAACTTTCTAACATTTTTTTTTAAGGATTACCGAGAGAACCCAAGTATAGTCATTTGAAAGAGTTGCATAAGGTCATCAAACTATGTGAACCTGCGTTGGTCTCTGTTGATCCAGCCATTACATCGCTGGGCGGAAAACAAGAAGTAAGTATGCAGTGTAACATTCAAGAGAAGAAGCATCAAATATTCATACATTTATGATTTTTGTTATATTTTCAGGCTCATGTTTTTAAGTCCAAGACTTCTTGCGCTGCGTTTCTTTCGAACTACGACACGAGTTATGCAGCCAGAGTCATGTTTAGGGGATTTCCATATGATTTGCCTCCTTGGTCTGTCAGTATTTTACCCGACTGCAAAACCGAGTATTACAACACTGCGAAGGTTAATAAACTAAAACCTTATATCGAAAACCTTACTTTGTTTATTGACTTATATATTATGTGTTCTTCATTTTGGCATGTGTGACCTGATATAGATCCGTGCACCCACCATACTTATGAAGATGGTTCCTACTAGCACGCGATTTTCATGGGAATCATACAACGAAGCAAGCCCTTCTTCAAGTGACGCTGGTACGTTTGCTCAAGACGGTCTTTTGGAACAAATAAGCATGACCAGAGATAAAACGGACTATTTTTGGTACCTAACAGAGTAAGTATTATTGTTTGACCATTAATTTTTACAAAATGAAATATCATTATCTTGTTAATTAATTGCTTATTATTAGTTGCTTCTGTTTTATGTTTGGTTCGCGGTTATTCTCAGCATTACAATTAGTTCTAATGAGAGATTCTTGAAGACTGGTGACGATCCACTTCTTACCATTTGTTCAGCTGGGCATGCTCTTCATGTATTCGTTAATGGTCAACTTGCAGGTAAAATTAGATAAATTTAAAGACCAAACTAATCGTTTGTTGGAAAAAATAAAAACTTTAGAAACATTCATATTTTTGTTTGTTTATCTGTTTTAGGAACTTCTTATGGAGGATTGAGCAGCCCCAAGCTCACATTTAGTCAAAAGATCAAATTGCATGTAGGCGTCAACAAACTTGCTCTGCTAAGTACTACAGTGGGTCTTCCGGTTAGTTCTGATCTAGCTTTGCTTGTTGGATTATTGCAATTATTTTTCCTTAATATATGATTATATATACGTTATGAGATCTGTGATCTCCATTATTTATTACAGAACGCTGGTGTGCATTATGAGACTTGGAATACTGGAGTTCTAGGTCCAGCCACATTGAATGGAGTTAACTCTGGAACGTGGGACATGTCTAAATGGAAATGGTCCTATAAGGTCCTTTTGAAGAATGAATCCATTGTTTACTGAACCTTTTTATACCAACCACAATAATATAAACTAAACGTGTTTTTTTCTTTTTGCATGTGTGATTTGAGTAGATTGGTACTAAAGGTGAAGCTATGAGCCTTCATACCATAACCGGAACTTCCTCTGTTGAATGGACAAAAGGATCATTCGTGGCCAAGAAGCAACCTTTGACCTGGTACAAGGTAATAAATACCTTTTCAGTTTCCTAATATAATAGATGTTATAGGTTTTATTTTTTTCTGTGATTTAGATGAATGAATTTTCAGATTTACACGCAAAACCATTGCTCTCATAGTCTCATAGTGCATTTATCAACTAATAAATACTGAAGTAAATGAGAGGCTATATGAAATACGTGGTAGTGGGCGAATGTTTTCGGTAGCTCAGGACTTGCCATTTTGGTCAAGACCAGAAAAAAACGTGAAATTATCTAATTGTTCTATCTAACATGTCGTAAATATTTAAAGTGGTCAGAAAATCCGAATTTTTATGAAATTCAGTAGTTAGTCTATATATAGGCTTCGGCGTAAAATGACCTCCATTACAAATATATTTTTGAATGTTTTATTAAAATACCTGTGTATATAACACATTAAAACATAATATGATTTTGCCAAACGGAGAGAGAGAGAGAGAGAGAGAGAGAGAGAGAGAGAGAGAGAGAGAGAGAGAGAGAGAGAGAGAGAGAACATAGGGATGAACCTATGTCTACTAATAAAGTTCAGTATAGCAAAAACGAAAAAACATGCATGTATCAGCAAGGAAATGGGATTGTGTTAAATATATTACTTTAGTTAGAAATGAGACTAACTAGTACCTTACTAAGTCTCACATATATACATTCTTAAACTAGTTTTGTGGTGGATTATATTTATGGGTTTTATTAAGCTTAGCTAAGAGCGTAGTATGAGATATGCTCATACCAGCTTCTTGCTCTCTTTATTTTCAGTCTTATTTTAACACACCGGTAGGCAATGAACCATTGGCTTTGGACATGAACACAATGGGGAAAGGTCAAATTTGGGTAAATGGACATAACATTGGACGCCATTGGCCTGCCTACACGGCTCGTGGAAACTGTGGTCGCTGCAACTATGCTGGAACTTACAATGAAAAGAAATGTCTTAGTTACTGCGGTCTCTCCTCCCAAAGATGGTGAGAAAAAAAAGGCTCATCATGTTGTTGATTTTAGTCTCCTTCTTCTTTTGTGCTCTGATCTGATTATGTTGTGTATATTTTTCAGGTACCATGTGCCTCGTTCATGGCTAAAGCCATTCGGGAACCTTGTAGTTGTATTTGAGGAATGGGGTGGTGATCCAAGTTGGATCTCTCTTGTTAGAAGAACAGCCAAATGAAACTCTTCTTAATTCGTTTTTTCTTTTTTTTTTGGGAACAGGATTTGTTTGTGGTGTGTGTGCTTCTTTCTGGAAGTTTATTTAAGGTTCTGTGCAGTGGATAGTAGCAATTATTGGTTCATCTTGGAAGAATGTTAATGTATGTGTGTATCCTGGCCTAGTAATATATTTGCAAGTCTATTAAAATATATACAGAATAAATGAATAAACCATAGATGGCAATCGATGCTAATTACCCTGCTTATGAACACTATTTCATTTTTCTTTTCTTCTTTCCAATCTTTTGAATACATATATAGTTCTTTCACTTAAACTCTAATCTACATATTTTCCAAAACCATATGTAACATAACTTACTCCCTCCCTTCTAAAAAATATGATGTTTTGGTTTATTAATACAAATTAAGAAAGAATTACTTTTAATTATTACAATCACTGGTAATTTAAGAATTTAAATAGTTTGAGTTATTTTTCTTGAAATATAAAAAAAACATTTAATACTCTAGAACATAACAAAGAAAAAATCTAAAATATCATATATTTAAGAACAATCACAGTGCCAGCAAATAAATGGCAAGTTACAATAATACAAATCTAACTAGTTAAAAATAAGAATCGTGAAAGATTATGATAATTTTATAATTTGTTTTAGATCTGGATAAAAAAAAATATTAGGACACAGAGTGTAGATCAAGTAGATGTGGGTCAAAAAAGTCTAAATAAAGAAAGAAGCAGAGATGTGTGGGTGTGTGTACCTCTGAGTCTGTGCCAAAACAAGATTTTTCTTTTTCAGTACAAGAAAGATAACACACACACGTGTTTCCCGTTTTACTATTCTTTATCCATTTCTTAAAAAACTCTCTTCTTTCATTTTTCCACATTTCCGGAAACGACAAAGAAGAACAATTCCATTAAACCCTTCCCATACTTATAAAGTTAATTAATTAATTAACCCTTCTTAATTCATGAATCTAATCGTAATTTTCACATATATTATTAGATAATTCTTCCTTAACTCTTAAGCCTCTCCTCCTCCTCTTCTTCCTCCTAAAACCAACAACTGTTCACTTCCTTCAACAATCAGAAAAAAGCATCGTGCTCGTGCATTTTCGAGATCTTCTTTTCGGGTTTTTGGATCTCAATTACTATCGAGTAGAAAAAACCCTTGAATCCGTTTTTTTGTTGTAAATCTCATCCCTTTCAATCGATTGGTGATCTCAGAAGAAAACCATGAAGAATCAGGAGAAGCTAGGGTTTTTCACTCTCTCGTTTCTTCTGATCCTGAGTCTAGCGACGGGTAGATTCGTTGTGGAGAAGAACAACCTCAAAGTCACATCGCCCGACTCGATCAAAGGTATTTACGAATGTGCCATCGGGAATTTCGGAGTTCCTCAGTACGGTGGTACATTAGTCGGCGCCGTCGTGTATCCCAAATCGAACCAGAAAGCTTGTAAAAGCTACAACGATTTCGACATCTCTTTCAAATCCAAGCCTGGACGCTTGCCCACTTTTGTCCTTATCGATCGTGGAGGTTCGATTTCTTATTTTTTTTCTTCCCTTAATTGGATAACTCAATTTAGGTTTTCGTATCTGGAAAAAGATCTGTTTTTTAAAAAATTCAATTTCTGGGTTGTTCTGTAGACTGTTTCTTCACTTTGAAGGCATGGATAGCTCAACAAGCTGGAGCAGCAGCGATTCTTGTAGCTGATAACAAAGTTGAGCCATTGATCACGATGGATACACCTGAAGAAGATAAGTCCGATGCGGATTATCTCCAGAACATTACGATCCCTTCTGCTCTCATCACCAAATCCTTGGGAGACAGTATAAAGTCTGCGCTTTCAGGTGGCGACATGGTGAACATGAAGCTAGACTGGACCGAGTCGGTTCCTCATCCCGACGAGCGTGTGGAATACGAGCTCTGGACCAACAGCAACGACCAGTGTGGGAAGAAGTGTGATAACCAGATTGAGTTTCTCAAGAGTTTCAAAGGAGCAGCTCAGATTCTTGAGAAAGGAGGGCATACTCAGTTCACGCCGCACTACATCACCTGGTACTGCCCTGAGGCTTTCACGCTGAGCAAGCAGTGCAAGTCTCAGTGTATCAACCATGGGAGGTACTGTGCGCCTGATCCTGAGCAGGATTTCACCAAAGGGTATGATGGGAAGGATGTTGTGGTTCAGAATCTGCGCCAGGCTTGCGTCTATAGAGTGATGAACGAGACCGGTAAGCCGTGGGTCTGGTGGGACTATGTGACTGACTTTGCGATCCGGTGCCCGATGAAGGACAAGAAGTACACTAAGGAATGCGCAGACGAAATTATTAAGTCCCTTGGTGAGTATAATGAGGCATTTTGTTTTATGGACTTTTGTTACTTTCAAGTTTGTGCATTTCATTCTAAATTATCTGACTGTTAGCTCGTAATGGTTAATTCTGAGTTTTCTTTCTGTTTATATGCATTCAGATATTGATCTCAAGAAGGTGGACAAGTGTATCGGAGACCCTGACGCAGATGTGGAGAACCCAATTCTTAAAGCAGAGCAGGAGTCTCAGGTTTGTCTTTTTGTAACCAATTGGCTCTTACTCTTCTCTCCTCTTCTAGATTTTGTCGTTTTAAAGCTGCCATATATATTCTCCATTCCGTTTTGTGTTATTGAAATGAGTCTATTTCAGATTGGCAAAGGATCTCGTGGAGACGTGACTATACTCCCAACGCTTGTCGTGAACAACAGACAATACAGAGGTATTAAAGACTGCTGACTTGTCAGTTTTGTTTCCCCTTTTACAGGATCTCACTTTTTTTTTGGCTAACTCAATTATCTTTCATGTGCTTAGGTAAATTGGAAAAAGGGGCAGTGCTGAAAGCTATGTGTTCAGGTTTTCAAGAGTCAACAGAACCAGCTATATGTCTCACTGAAGGTCTTATTCTCTTCGACATTCAGAAATCTCTTATAATTTTCAGTTATCACATTTCTCTTGATGGACAGAGATATTAAAGTTTTGGTGACTAACTTGCATTAGAGTTGTCCTTTATTGTTTTATCTTGGTGTTTTATATCACCGAGGGAGGATAACGTCTTCACATACGTTTCTGGGTTTTACAGATTTAGAAACTAATGAATGTTTGGAAAACAACGGTGGGTGCTGGCAAGACAAAGCTGCCAACATAACTGCATGCAAGGTATCATTTGGGCTTGCTATTTTTTTTTTTTTTTTTGGTTTTGTTGTTGCTACTAAGATTGATTACTTTTGATCTGAATCTGCATTTTAGGATACTTTTAGGGGAAGACTCTGTGAGTGCCCTACTATTCAAGGTGTTAAATTTGCTGGTGACGGTTACACTCACTGCAAAGGTATGTCAGTTTATCTCCCTGTAGCTTGACATATTTTGTGTGTGACAGGATACAGAATAATGGCATATAACTGAGTGGATAAGTGATGATTTCCTTTGCTTGCTCTGAAAAGCAATGTTCTAAATTGCTTTCAGTGCCATTCTACAGATTTTTCCCTTTTCTTAAAACAGAAGTTGTCTTACTAAAAATTTTCATAAAAGATGATTTTTATTATCCGTATGTATGGCTTCCTCTCAACGCTGTTTAACTTGGCAGCCTCTGGAGCTTTGCATTGTGGTATCAACAATGGAGGATGCTGGAGAGAAACACGAGGCAGCTACACTTACTCTGCTTGTGTAGTAAGTATTTCGTCTTCTATGTCAATGTCTGATTTTTGAATGATCATTTCTCAACCTTAAGTGAAACTTATTTGGTTCTTAAAATGGAATTTCCAGGATGACCATTCAAATGGTTGCAAATGCCCAATTGGGTTCAAGGGCGATGGAGTAAAGAGCTGTGAAGGTAAGTACTTGATAAGGAATATTTACTTGCATCTATATACATGCGGTCTACTTGCACCATCTTTTTTTAAGAGAAGGAGAGAGTAATTGTGAAGTAGCTCTGGTATATGCATTTAATTACGTTTTGAATAGCAATAGAATGTAGTTTATTTACAATTGACTGGTAGTGGTATATATGGATGACGGTTTATTTGGCAGACATCAGTAGTAATATGCTATTGGATATGTTGGTGTAGAATAATCTGTGCAGTTACACAACTACAATTATCAGTGGAGCTTTGGATTGTAAATCAATCAAAGAAGTAAGATCATTGATAAATGTGAAGTTTTTCATAATCATATACTTTTTGATTGAATGTGTTATTAGATGTGGACGAGTGTAAAGAAAAGAAGGTTTGCCAGTGCCCAGAGTGCAAGTGTAAAAACACATGGGGAAGTTATGAATGCAGCTGCAGCAATGGTTTGCTTTACATGCGTGAACACGACACTTGCATAGGTAACATTTAAAAAGAGATCTTCCTTCCTCTCAAGCCCATACTTGATTTGGAGTTATTAATCAGACTTTCTGCTTTTGGATGTGTTGAATGTGTAGGTTCAGGCAAAGTTGGAACTACAAAACTCAGCTGGAGCTTTTTGTGGATTCTTATAATCGGAGTGGGTGTTGCGGGTCTTTCTGGATATGCGGTCTACAAATACAGGATCAGGGTATGTCATCATTTACATAATAAATATACCAAGATTTTGCCATCTAGATATTATTATGGTTTAAGTAACAAAAAAAATGTTATGCAGAGTTACATGGATGCGGAAATAAGAGGGATCATGGCACAGTACATGCCTTTGGAAAGCCAACCCAACCCAAGTGGTCCTCATATGGATATATGAATGAAGTTATCAAGAGACTCTCTTTTCTATGGGAAGCTTCTTTTATGTTTCCATGTAAATGAATCTATAGACTTAAAAAAAAGCCACCAAAATAATAAAGTGTATCTTCACTTTTTGTAAGGGATGTGGATTTGCAGATGGAATCCCTCTTTTGTCTGCAATTACTCTTGCAATGTAAAATAGACACCAATGGATAAATAATGAGTAGAGTTACATTATTTACTACTGAAACTTTGTTAATCCACACTCAAAGAACAAAACAAACAACAAAACTTTATACTTTCTCCAGCTCCACTCGGTGTTTCTCGATCTGTTGTTTCACTAGCTTCTGCGATTCTTGGATAAGCTTTGTGTGCTTCTTTATAAGCTCCTCTTTTGTCTTAAGCTCTTCCTCCATTACCGCAATCTCCTGTTAGCAACACATCAGAGCAAAAACTTGGTAAAAGACAAATGGGATTTGGAGTTATCACATTGGCGGGTTTGTGAGGGGAACAAAAAGCTACCTTCTTAAGGCTTTCTGCTCTGGTGGGCGCGTGATCTTCCCGTTTCAATCCCATGAAATAGAGCTGAAGCTTCTTCGCAGCTTCCATGAAATCTCTGGCGTGCCGCTCAACATCAACTGCAGAGCTCAGTAAAGGGAACAAAGATAAGATCTTTCCCTTGGTACAATCCACAAATCGATTCATCACAGATCAGTAAGCAAGTTAGACTAACGATTCGAGCGATTTCTAAGTAATTATTCGCTCAGATCATATACTTAAGCAAGTGAAATGAACATGACGATCTATCTAAGTGATCTTTCTATAGCAGATAGATACAGAAACAGACACAACTCCAAACTATCATCAACCAGACAAGAAAGTCATTGCTTTTTTAAACCTAGCAAAGATTCACAGTAATATGAAATAGCACAAACCAGATTGGCATTCACTAAATCAGTCAATTCTATTCTAGAACTTGAAAATTCAAAGGCGAGATGGTTCGAAATCGAAATAGAGAGTGGAAAAGGGACTGACTTTGATGAGAAGGATGAGGAGAGCGGTCGATGGCTTGAAGCTCCCTAGCGGGCAAACATGGGAGCAGAGCAGCTTCCAAAGCCGTGACGCAGGACATAATGTCCTCCATCTCATGGTTCTGATTGTTCGACGGCGTCTCCGGTGATGTAATTCCCAAAGGACGCTCAGACGGCGACGGCGAAGGGTCAGAAGACGGCGGCGGCTGTTGCTGATAATCCATTGCGCCTCTCTCTCTCTCTCTAGCTTTTGTCTGTTATTTTAGTGTTTCTCAAGTGGGCTTCCTATTGGGCCTATTTTTCACATTCTCAATTGTTAAGACAAGACCTCGAATGTTACCTAACAAATTGACAAAGAATTTAGATGTTCTTTTAGACTAGGTATTTATCCGCGCTATTGCGGAATATTTTTTCTAGATTTGTATATATTTTTTATATAATAAAATTATTTATATATTTTAAATGAGTATTATATTTATTTTTTATTAGCTTAAATTATGTATTTATATGTTTTAAATCTGAATAAACATTATATATCATTAATTTTTTATTTTTTAAAATTATAATCTACTATCAAATTTGTTTAGCTAAATATCTATAAATGTATATGTAAGAATAAAACAATACATTTTTAAGTACCTTCAAGCTAATGGTAGATGTAATTTATTTTCTCTACTAAATTGCTACTTGATGCTCCTTTAAAATTATATAAACCAAATTGACATTTAAAAAAATATTAATTAATATGATTATTTTAAATTATAAAATTTATTTATTTATCAAATATTTATTATAGACATATGTTTCTAAAACTACCAAACTATAATCAATAACATTCATATCAAAATCATTACTATTACTTTAGAACTAAATAGAAAGTTTTATTTGAACTGTTGAAATATCAATTTAGTTGAAGTTAAATAATTCAATTTTGGTTACTATAAACATATTATAACTTGAAAATTTAGCACATAAAAATTTTATCTTTTTACAAAAACCGAGAAATTGTATTTTCCGACAAAACAAAAAAAAAATTATTTCTCACGAAACTGAGAAATCGCCTATTCCCGCCAAAACCAAAAAAATTCATTTTCTCGTCAAACCTGAAATTTCATTTTCCTACCAAAACAAAAAAATTGCATTTTCCCTCAAAAACAAAAAAAATCACACTTTCCCGCGAGAACCTGTGTTTTTCCGTCAAAACAGAGGAATCAAGTTTTTTCACCAAAACCAAAAAATTTCATCTTCGTGCAAAAACAAAAAATAATATTTTTCCGTAAAAACCAAAAAATTATTTTCCCGCAAAAATTGAGAAATCGTCTATTCCCACCAAAACAAGAAAAAATTATTTTTCTCGTCAAATCAAGAATCACGCCTTCCTACCAAAACCGATAAACTACAATTTTCCGCAAAAACCAAAAATTGCATTATCTTTTGAAAATTTGCGTTTCCCACGAAAATTAAGAAATCATATCTTCTCTCGAAAATCAAAAATCAAATTATATGTCAAAAACTGAAAATTTGCATTTCCCATCAAAACTAAGAAATTGTTTATTCCCGCTGTAATCGAGAAATTTTGCTTTTCTATCAATCCGAGAAATTGCATTTTTTGCCAAAATTGTCAAATTTCAATTTTCCGTAAAAAATCAAGAAACTACATTATCCATCAAAAGCCGAAAAATTGTATTTTCTATCAAAACCGAGAAATCATATTTTTCGTCAAAATTGAAAAGTTGCATTTCCCTCGCATTTTCTCGTCAAAATCAAATTTTTTATTTCTCACTAAAACCAAAAATTCACATTTTTCCGCCAAACCCGAGAATTTGTTTTTTTCCGCCATAACCGAAAAACTTTGTTTTCCTACCAAAACTGAAAATCACATTTTTCTACCAAAACCAAGAAATTCTCTATTTTCGCCAAACTCAAGAAAATTTGTTCTCGGTAACCAGTAGAAATGCGAATCTCCAAGCTGTGGTGGTCTGAGTTTCTCCTCATTTGCTTTCGCCTTCCATTTTTTTTTGTAAACTTTGGGCTTTTTAGTGGGTCAGCAAAATTTGATTTTATTAGTGTGTTAATAATATGTATTATTGTTATATTTTTATTGGTTCAAATTTTTGCTGATGTGTGAGCTTCTTATAACATAGCTCTGTTTGCATTGTTGTTATGGAAGCATAGTTGATGATGAGTCTACACTTTCTTCAATCATATACGTCTCTATCAAGCAAACACATAGTTAGAAATTTTAATTTTTTTTGCTGTTATTTATTATTTAAGTTTCGGTTTGGCAAAAATATAAAACAAAGATTTAATTTTATTATTTGTTGTTATTTATTATTTGGGTTTGTTAAAAAAATAAAAGATTTTTTTTTATTTGCTGTTATTTATTATTTGGGCTTGGGCTTGACAAAAAAATAAAACTAAAATTAACAATAAAAAATATTTAAGTTTTTAATAGGTTTAAATTTAAAAGTTAAAATAAATTGATGACTTGTATTAATGAAATGTTTTTATTTAGTATTTTTTTTTGCTGAAGTGTCATCTCCTAAAAACTTGAAAATGCTAATGTGTCAAGCCATTGAGGGACTTATGAGTTATTATTGTGTTGATTTTTTTAACGAAAGATGGTTTAGACGTTTTCTTGGTTTAATTTAGATGTTTTCGAACTGTGAAATACTCTAATTCATAGTATGAAATAAAAAATACATTTTTACAATTAATTTTTGGTTTGCTTCGGTATTCGTTTTCTGATCCTCGGTTTTGCTTTTTCGGTTTCATTTTCAGGGATATATAGCTTCGAGAAGCACGTCGAACGTTAACAGTCTGTTGCATGTTTTTTATGATACTCCTAAAATGGACTTTGTAATAATTTATTAAGCTTTTACACAAAACACATCTTTTCCTTCTGATTCACATCATCCAGGTGAAAAAAAGCAACAACAAAAGATATAAGTCACACATTAATCAAGTCAAGTCACAGAAGATTACGATTAACTACTAAAAACTGCAAAGGAAAACATATGATGATCAGACATCAAGCTTCCCGGTCGGAGACAGTGCGCTGCTCCGGTATCTTGGCGACAAGTTAACAAACTCCAAAGCCTGTGTTCTGAGCTGAACCGGATAATCCGCTGCGCAACCGATCCTTGGACCGGCTCCGGTCGACCATTTCAGCATCAGCTGATGACCCAACTGTAAAGATTTGGACTGTTTCTTTGAGTTGATCCTTTGTAACATTGCCTTCTGTGGAACGTCAGCTTTTGGGCTCTCAAGCCCACCTGAGAGCGTTCTCTGGTAAGTACTCCGTTTAGTCTCCTCAAATGTTCCGTTACCGTTTTCATCCGTTTCAGCCTCTGCCTTGGATGCTACATCCTCTTTCTTTAGAGTCTTGGTTCCATCTGCATTGGATTTAAAGTAGTCATCGTAGTTGTCGGAATCTTCACTAGCTTTGTGCACCTACATAGAGAAAAAAAAAAGTAACTGATACTATTAGCTCTCAAGTAGTCTCCTCTTAACACAACCATAATCTAGTAGAACAGATTTTTATCGTGTAAAACCTTGAATAAAACAAGAGTTTACCTCAACACAGTCTAGATTCACTGCGTTCTCTCTGAGAAACGAGAGAAATGTGTCGAGGCTATCATCTGACGGCCTGTAATGTCCACTGTATGCAGAGATTGACTGAAATATAAACAAAATGGATCGGAGACATAAACGATTAGACAAAAAAAAAATATCACAAACTGACAAAAGATAGACATAACTTGGCGTTTTGTAAATTACCTTGAGAACTCCATTGTCAACAATCACTCTCCCTGCAGCTAATGTTGCTCCTCCGGCCAAAAAGCTTGAGTGATGGAACCTTCCTTTCTTTTTCTGAAGTAAACATCAACCAAGAAAAGAAGTAGACCCATTATATCATTTATGTTAATAAGGAACAGAACGATAAAGTGATGTTCTCAAGAAAACCTACCAGACCGGCATAGAGTTTCTTGAAAGTACTCATAACAAAGATCCACTTTGTTCCGTCGGATCCGTGCAACGTGTGTAGAAACTTTCCAGTTAACTTGTGAACAATTTTTCCTTCGATGATCTCATACTCATACTCTTCCCTCTCTTGCTGATTATCAGAAAAGATTCAATATGAGAAATCCCTCTAAAGAAAAGTATAAACAAAATTGACAAGAAGAAAATGACACATACAGGTCCAAGATATCTGATGCATTGCTGCTTAAGCTTTGACCTTGGACATTGATTAAGATCCAGATCTTTCCCTTCTCCAACATCCAACCTACATGAAACCGAAATTTTTACAAAGACAAGATTAATCACCAATCCAAGTAAATAGATTCCAAAATTTCTTGAACTCCAAGAAACACACTAACAAAATGAGTCATGGTGGATTGAATGGAAGAACCGTGAAAACTCAATAAACGGTTTATGAAGAATTTTAAGCATACCAGTAGAAAAATGGCTGACCAGCATCAGCTTTACACCATTCTTCATAGTAAACATGCAGGTTGTGTCCATACCGGTGCCTTGGATCAATCTGATTACAAATTTCAATTTTTTTAGTATTCTTATTATCCCCAAAAAAAAAAATTCATTTCATCTGAATATTAGCCTAAACGAAAGAAAAATAATGAAACGGAAAAGGGTAAAAAAAAAAAATTACAG